CTCCAACAATAGATTTCAGGAAAAACTTTCAGCTAAAATTTTCTTTTTGGAGGGATTCAAGTAGGGGCAGGATAGTCGAGAAGAATTCCACTGAAATCTATACTGATGGGTCCAAAATTGACTGCGGTGTGTGTGCGGAGATGTTATCTGCGACATTGAATATCTCGCTCTCTGTCAGAGATTGCAAATGCAAAGATACCAGGAATATGTGGTCGTGCAATGGCAAAAAAATTGAGGAATTTTCAATGAGGCCGAGGAAAGATATAGTCCGCTTAACTTCCACGATAACGAGACAATGGCCCATTGGCGAATCTGCTGCCAAAATGGGCCTTCCGTGCAATCCTCAGTGTCGTGGCTGTAATCTGGAGGAAGGTAATGAAACCATCTTAAATCTATAAGGCATAATCCACTAGGGAGATGCTCCATTCAAATTCTTACGGAGTTTTTTAATGCTCCATTGTTACCGTAATTAGATGTATCGACAAATGCAAGTGGTTTGATGAAACCGACGAATCATGAAAGTAGGTAGTACCAGGGATCCCGGAGACAGCGTAGAAAAATGGTGATCTCAGTGCTAATTGGATTCAGGGCAAGTGGTCAGGCCGCGGTTTTACCAACCAAACAACCAAGCGGCAGTCGGGCCGCATGACGGCTCTTCTATGTCATAAAATTTAGTTTTCATAGGTTCTCGAGTGCGCTGAGAGAATAAATGTCTTAGCGCCAAACAACAGGGGTTTCCTTTTCTGAATTTCGGGCCGTAAAACCAAAGAAGGAAACAAAGATACAAATATGCTTGCCAGGAAGGCTGCAGAAAAAAAGTTACAGGTACCAAGCCTTTCTTTCCAATAGGACCACTATAAGAGAAGAGCTCAGACTAAGAAGCTATGGGTTTCCCTTCCACTTATCCTTACAAGAAACGGATTCGTGCATCCGGCGGCTGGTACCGAACGGATCTTTTTCTACTCAGATCTCTCAAAGGGTTTGATGGGATCGTGACAGCGTCTGGAATTGAAGTCCAATCAACATCTTCAGGGAAAAATCGCAGAAGG